TTTTTTTTTTGCTTTCTTTTGTAGTGTTACAAGCAAAATGGCGATGTAGCAAAAGCATCAGAGTGGCTGAAGAAAGCAATATCTCTCCCTGTAACCTCGGAAGATGTGAGTGAAATTACTTTTACATGCATTATAGTGAAGTAAATAAATTAGGCAGCTGTCTTTTAAGACAGCTAAGCTAAGCTAAGCCTCGTTTAGTAGAAAAATTTCTCTACTAAACAGAGTTTACCAGGCGGTTTATTATTGCTATCATTAAGGATGGACCAACTGAAAATCTGTTTGAACCTACATAGTTTCGTGATAAAAGAGCCGAAATTTGTTCGATATCCATTTTTCTTCCTCGCGTTTCGACTGTCTAAAGACGTCAAATTTCATTTGTGGTACGGTACAAAACCGCGCAATAAAAACGGCAGTCTGGCCGAGGATTGTGAGGTTATTTCCCATCCCAATATTTTCCTTAGTTGTTTTCGGTTTGGCCAAAGGAAACTCAAAATATTCGTCACACTGCGGATGAATTTCTTTCCATTTCCCTTCCTTTCTCCTCCTTTCTTTTCTTCGGTCTCTCACCTGAAAAATTGACATCACGGTCGTTCTCTTTTTTAACCCAAAATTAGGACAAAGAATCTTACGACCAAGCACAGCAGCTTCTTAGTACCTTATAGATCCTTATAACAGGTCCTCCTATTGGCTGCGACTGATTATCTCACGTGTTCGGCTACTTAGCACATTATAACAGATCCTTCTATTGGCGACACTGTTTACGTCACCTGTTTTACCCACGTATCTCACCTGATCTGGTTACCAGTACTCCCCATTTTGGTCACCATCTGGAGGATGACGTAACACTAACGCTTTTTCAAAAAGGTTCTTTAAACCACGAACTTTGTCTTATTTGGTCTTTCGACTCCTCTGTTGTTTAGAAAGAGTAAGTGGTTTTCTCTTAAAATATTTTTAACTTTTATTCTTTACCCTATAGGTACAATGTAACATACACATTTTTAGTTTCCTCTATTTTTTTGTTATGTAGTCAATATTATTTTATACTGTAAAATTATATAAACAGTTTATCGACATGAATTTCTCTTCGAGCGTTTTATCGCTACATTCTGAAATGAATTTGTCAAATTGTTTGACAAAAAATTATTTATTGAGACGAAATATTCTGTTATTTCTTAATGTTGTTGGTCTTCACTGATCATCATTAATCGTATAAAAATAAAAGTTAACGGTCTTAAAGACACCATTTTTAAAACATGTGTGGATCAGTCGAGTTCACTAATAAAAGCGAACACTTTGAAATGAGTTTCGAACTATATATTTGAGGTAAAATGTTAAATGTGCCACTAAAATGTCCTTACCAGGTCCCTTCTTTTGAAGAATATTGGCCCCGGAGGGACAATGGGGACAAGTTGTTCGCGCTTATTTGGGTAAATGGCTCGAGTGGTTTTTACATTTATTTTTGTTTAAAAAATGCTCAACTATCAACTTGAACGCCTCTCTTTTGCCCGAATATGTCGATCGGTGATCATGCACTCAGGGTAGTCTGCTTTAATTAGTTGAGTCAGTGGTCTTTCTAAAGCTAAGGCACGATAAGGCTTTGCATGAAATATTCGAAGCAATTTAGGTGTCTGGGAAACTGCCCACCTACCCCTCCCCTAAACCAACATTATCACTTACTCCTCACTTAGGGCAAAATGTTGGCTTAGGGGAGGGGTAGGTGGGGAGTTTCCCAGAAATCTGAAAAGGTGACTTTGAAAAATGTTGATTGTGGCTGCACTACTTTTTGCGCTGTTACGGAATGTTTTAATACAGATAGCATTTATTGTAAAAAGCGGGTTAGATTAGTATTATTGTGTCAGATCTTCTGATGTAATAATACTTAGATTTTAGTATTTTCTCGTTTTCCGAGTATTGCCTTCTAACCTTTTTAATCTGTTGTGCGTAACGTTCTTAAGAGACCCTCTTGCACGCAAGCTAAATTAGTGAATATTGGACCACGAAAAGAACTAAAAGCTAGAAATTGCAAGTTTTTACAACGCCTAATAATAGCATGGATAAAAATCAATTACAGATCTTTATGTTGTTGGTTTTTCAAGCATGGAATATTCTTTCTGTTTTAAGTTATTTGTTTTCCTCCTATTCTGTGCCTTCTTGGCGCTGCTTAAAACACGTTAATCTTCGATTCTAGTAAGAAATGGTTAAATTGAAACATTTACTGTGACCTTACCATCTTCTGAATTTATTGTAAATTATATCTTCAATGCAGTTTTTAAAAAGTAATAATTAGATCTCTTTGTCTATTTATTCTAATGTATTATTTAAAGTAACGTTGAAGTAGGTAATTGTACAATGTATTTCTGCTCTGCGCTGTTTCCTTTTCTTCGCATTGTTCAAACTACACAGCGTGAACGCAGAGGAGCTGGGTCAACTCACAATGGCAAAAAACGTGATTTTGTCATTGAAAACCCTTTGTCAATTAAGTTTTTAACACTGGGATATTTAGCATCACGAATACTAAAAGTCGTCATTTTCATTCACCCATCCCTCTCAGCTGGGGTTGGTATTATACACGCGTTTTTTGTTTTGGCCTTTGAATCATCATTTTCTTCTTCAATGTTTTTATACACTTCATTTTCTCTCAGCCAAGTTAATGTCATAGTTCGACAGGGTGGCACTACTTTTTTTCTTATTGTTGACTTTATGTCGGAATTTATGAATCGAAAGTATAGTGAAAGATGAATCGGGCTAATATGACTGTTAAATATGTAGAAGATGTTTACTTTTGGCATAAAACTCATTTTAGTTTGTAAACAAAACTGGATGAATTTAACCTCTCTAAATTCTACATTAAAACCTAGTTTAATGAAAAATAGTTAAGCCGACGCATATGTCTTCAACGCCTTTTTCTACGATCAGTTTTAGCAACAGCACGTTACGAATATTTTAAACTTTTTGAGTACCCAGCTGTTTAACAACGAAAGCAAATTCATATTGAAGCAGTTTGTTGATAAATGTCGACCTAAGGTTTTACCTTTGCAAACGTTACTCGGTTTCTTGTGCTAAAACGTATAAAGCCGTTGATCATGACCCGCTTTGTTGAAGTATCTTTCCTTAAGGGAAAGTATTCAAGTAATTACAAGTTCCTTATTTATCCGATTGTCTTATGTAAAATTGTCTGTCGCCGTGTCTTAGCAACCCCACTGGATGCACTATAAATATTTAGAACTCAGCGTAAAAGAAATGTTGGTATCTCTAGTTTTTCGATTTCCTGTTTGTCATCTTCCTTGTTTTGTCTGGTATTCCCTTCTTGCCTGTTTGAGTGTTCATCTTTCGGGGAAGTCAATTTGCTTTCCGATTTGCGTTTTGTTTTTTCTTTTTGTTTAAAGCGTTGCTTTTTTGCCTCTGATACACTCTTCCGTTTCCATGATGAAGTTCGTTTTGTTTGCGGCTCCATGACCTGATGCAGCAACCTTCTTTTTCGCATTTCCAGCTCCCACAAAGACTTACTAAGTCGCTGTTTCTCCGCGCAAAGCCTTGTGCAATACGCCATTCTTATGTCTTCCAAATTTCGGTCGAGCGTCAAACTACGCTCTCGTTGGCGCTCGTAAAATCCTCGAACTTGCGCGAGTTGTTTCGTCGGGTTGTTGCTCAGAATGGCGGGAAGAAAGCTGTCCTCTTCATTTATAGCGTACATTTCCCACCGCCTTTGAATTATCGGTTTGTGTGACGAGTTTGTTTTCAATAATTTACAAATCCTCGAACCCGAATAATCTTCCTTCCGGATTAGTCAAGCGGCTTCTCTACTCTCCTAACTCAACAGAGAGTTGACATAATTTTGTCTGAACCCAGCAGCTGTCGGCTCGTTAATAGAATTCTGTTGTCTGCGCATTTAAGACTTTGACAGCTACATAATAAAAAATACTGACATCCGATTGAACGTTTAAAACAGGTACCGCATAGTAGGAGCTCCTTATTTCTTTGCTCAAGTAAATGTATCAGATCGAATTCCGGCTATATTTAGTTAAAATATAGGTAACGAAAATGGGGTTTGTAATAAAACAGGCGTCTTTTTGGCGCACTTTCAAAGTATTTTGGGTTACTTAAGCATAAAATAACACCCACTTTAAATGTAGATATTACTCTGTTTTGCGTGTTAAAATATTCTGTGGCTTCTGTAGAGAAAATTAAAATTCGCACCTGAAAAAAGCATCCATTTAAAAGTGAAAGATTGAGCTTATGTTTGTTGCTGTTGATTGTGCAAAGAAGCAGTTACAATATTTGCTTTAAAGATGGCTAAAACGAAAATTAATTTTCTTGTGAAAGATAATTTTTTCGAGACTGTCGGTTAATTTGCCATTTTCGATTTACATTTGGTCGGCCTCAATATATTTAACTGAACGCTGTAAGTATCATGATTAAGATATTGGGCGATGGAAACAGGACTTAAAAACCGCAGGCTTCTTGAAAATGCAAGTGCTTTTGCGTTAATGTGTTTGCTTGCTAAACTAAAGTGAATTGGGGGATATGTTTTTCCAAAGTCCATCTCTGCAACTATTGCTGCGTCGTTCGTTTAGACTCAGTTCGTTGCTTGGTTTACTAGATGCACTTAAAGCATCGATGGATCACTGCTTTACCAGAGCAATGATGCTAAAAACAAATGGCTAAGAATTTTTGAATAGATCTTAACTAAAAAAAACTAGTCCGGTCAGCACTAGTCTTACTTTTTAATGGGAATTAGCATGTTAAGATTGGACTTGTCATAAAAATTAAACAAAATTCAAAGCGGTGCGTTCTGAGCCACCTTAGATTTTCAAACAAATGTTAGTGTTCCCAAGAGTGTTTTAAACTTTGTGAAAAGTTGGATCTTCACGTGCTTATTACAACTCGACGACAAAAATGGTCCTCCCTGAAGCCGCATGAATACATACGGGAAAGTACATATATATTTTAAATGATCACACACTTCTCATAGAGACATAGGCTATGTCTGTATGAAAGGTTTGTAATTAACTACAGAAAAGATCTGTGCACCCTAGATAAGCGCAATGAATTAGCAAATTCGTGCCCCCTCAGAAACATGAGTAAGATGTAGTCCGAAACGTTAAGAATTAGGTGTCACAACTACTACCTAGCAACAGCCTGTAGCTTGTATTCAAAGCCTGATGAGTGTGGTCATGTTTGACCATACGAAACAATATTCCCGCAATAAAGCGATGAACTACCTCTGAAGTCAGGAACTATGTAGTTATTTCCCCTGTAAAGTGGAGCACTCTAGGAACTTGTTCTTTCATGTCATATGTAGTCAGAATTTGCAGGAAAGTGTGTATGGTTGATGGAAAGCGAGACTCTCAGTAATATGAAGGCTTGTTTTATGCTAGTTTGCAGTCAAAATGCCGGTAGCCGAATTGTTATTCCAGGGGCGGTGATCTTTGACAAAATTTTGCTACTAACTTTTTCGGTTTCAACGCGACGGCTACGATACTTTGAGAAAACCTCTAACTCTCTTTAATTAGTAATATGAAAAAAAATTGACCGATGTCATAAAGATTTGTTGCGAATTCAAAGCTAATGAAGACCCTACTTTTTGTAGAATATCGCGTCCAGTGAAAAATTTTGCTGTTATTCGTTGGCTTAAATTTCTGCTGTCAGGTTTTATTTATTTATTACAGATTCACTCTACTGCATAACAAGCAAATAATGAAATGAAATAAGCTAACACTACTTTAACAAACAAACAAACAAACAAACAAAAAAGTTGTGGAGAAGGAGACAACCAAAAGCACCAATGCGCCATACTAGGGATGCCCCCACTAATTAACATATAAGAAAAATATGTACAAATAGAAATATAAATGTTCTAGTTATCCTTAATAAAGCTTAACACATTTCTTTTAAAAGTTGCAATACTGTTTGATTCTCTAATATGATTGGGTAAACCATTCCATTCATCTACAACACGGTTAAAAAAACTATATTTAAAACCATCAGTTCTACTAAAATTTGGAACAAGGTCCTGTGTGTC